TTCCCCTCGGCCCCCACCTCGGGGGCCCAGGCCTCCTCCCTGATGAACTGAGCCCTGCCCGGCCCTGGCAGCGGCCTCCTCCTCCTCCTCCTCCTCCTGACCTCCCCAGCCGCTCGCCCAACACCCAACCTGGGTTGACCTCAAAGCCCTGGTGTTGGGGGGACTTGGTCCCACCTGGAGCTGCTCAGCCTTTGTGGTTAATTAACGAGCTCTCTAATTGGGGAGGAGGGACCTCCTCCAGCCCCGGCTCCATCCCTCCCCCGACCTCCCCAGCCGCTCGCCCAACGCCCAACCTGGGTTGACCTCAAAGCCCTGGTGTTGGGGGGCTGAGGGGGGGGCTTCTTCCTGCCCAGAGCCATTCAGCCTTCATGGGTAATTAACGATCTCTCTAATTAGAGGATGGGAAAGTCCCCCTTCATCCCGCAGCTCCATCCTCCTCCCAACCTCCCCAGCCGCTCGCCCAACCCCCAACTTGCGTTGACCTCAAAGACCCATCTTTAGGGAGGGGGAGGGGGGGTGTTCCCACTTGGAGCTGTTCAGTCTTGGTGGCTAATTAACAAACTCTCTAATTAGGGGATGAGGCAGCGCCTCCAACCCTGACCGGCGGGCCCAGCTCCCTCCTCCCCCCCCCCCCCCCACCAAACACCCAACCAGAGTTGGCCTCAAAAGACCCATCTTTGGGGGAGGGCTTGTTCCTGCCCAGAACTGTTCCTCCTTAGCGGTTAATTAATGATCTTGCTAATTAGGGGGGAAAGAGGAGTCCCACCAAGCCCTGGCTCCATCCTCCCAACCCCCCCAGCCGCTCGCACAACACCCAGCTGGAGTTGGCCTCCAAGCCCCATCGATGGTGGGCTCGTTCCCACTGGGAGCCATTCAGCCTTGGCAGCTAATTAATAATCTAACTAGGGGATAAGCCCCTCCCCCTCCTTATATTTTTATCCATTTTAACCAAATCACCACCTTTTCACAGCAGGAAGATGCATACCCATGCTACTGTCCCCATGGCAGGGGGGGGACAGGACAGCACCCCCTGTCACCCCTCAGATTTTGGGGCAGAGGGGAGCAAATAAACTCAATTCCCCGCCTAATTAGGATGATTTTTTTAACGGACTTTTCCCCTCCCCCTTCCCTTCCACTGTGTTTTAAAGCACCAAGCACAACCCAACATTTTACCAAATTTGGGTGGAAACTGGAAAAAAAAACAATGCAGAAAATGTTGGGGGGGAGGGGGTTCCCTATTTTCTTCTGGTTTTGGGCAAATTATTTTGGGGGGGGGCAGGTGGGGGGGAGGGGTCCCCTCTGGGATGGCTGGGCCCTATTTCTCTTTAAGTTTGGGGTTTGTTTTTTTTTTTTTTATGCTTGTGGTGTCTTGTTAAAAAAAAACCCCCAAAATTTGGGGTCACCGGCATCACCGAGCACGTTTCGGAGAAAAGACTTTTATTATCCCTCACGGAGCAGAGTCAACCGTGGGGTTTGCCCGGTTCCCCTACTGCGTCCCCCAAAACGGGAGCAAAAACCAAGCTGTTTTCAGCTTTTTTTTTTTTAAAAAAACAAACAAAAAAAATAGAATTTTTTTGGTTGGTTTTGTTACTTTCGTGACTTTTTTCCAGCGTCGCCTACGGGGCCGTTCAAATAAACAAGAGG